CAATTACGCCCCGCCCGGTGATTGGTGCGAAGCGAGGAGATCGTGGGGGACCCATCAGGTAGGCAGCCGAGGGGCTGAGAAACGGGTGAGGAAAGTGTCGCTCCGATATTACAACGGGTTTTCCGGTTGAGAAAGGCAGTTGATGAAAGCGCGGCGGTTTGTCTTTCTAATAACATTATAATAACCACAACAACGGCTTTTTACCTCTCTTTTTGACCGGGCGGTGCAGTTACCGTTACCAGCAATTACACCACTAATTTTTCATATATATAAAACATTTAATTCCTATTTGAAATAATAAAATACAAACAAGAGGTAACTGACAATAATATATTATATTATACTTGAAGCACTCTTTGCATTTGATTAATACCCTTCCAATTGATACTGATACGATTTTAAAATTGACGGTTTCAGTTTTAGGCTTTTAAGGATCCAAATCGAATCGAATCATATTTCGATTAATTTTATTTTTTTTTAAAAAAAAATAATTTTTAATTAAAATATAATTTAAAGCAACAAAAATTCATAATTTGATTTCAAAATTTTGATAAAGTTTCACTTAGTTGATGTATTTTTCATACGTTTAATGATATAAAATTAAATATCTAAAAAAATTAATCATTGATAATTTAATTATTTTAATTCAATCGATTTGAATCGATATCAAAGTAGGATCATCAATTTTGATTACGATTTCAATTTCAATTCTAGGCCATTTGAATCAAAAATGAACCGTCGAGGCAAATTATGTAAGTATAAAATTTGTGATATGTTATATATAACGCGAAAAAAATTTTATGGTATGATTGAAATCAAATAACATTAGATCGGTATTTACGATATATACCTTTAGATGTCATTTGAAAGGGATCTCTGTGTGATATGGGCACCGTCTTTAGATCCAACCGCTATCAATCTGCGAGGAGAACTAGATTCTCCTTCTCCTCATCCAAAAACCGCTGTCAATCTACAAAAAGAATTAAACTCTTCTTCTCCTCTCTTCCTATCTTTTCGTAAGACTACTTAGATTGATGATTTATGGAGGTTGAGAGAGAAACTGTAATCTCTCAATTGTGTCATCTATGACATGCATATTTATCCCCTAGAGATCATGTCTATTTATAGACGAGAGCAAAGGGTCTAGGATAAATTACTATGAGAGTTCCTCCCATCAAGAACATCTCGTTATGAATCTTACCTTAATTAGACTTTCTTTCTATTAGCCAATAACCATAATCAGAATTCAATCATATCCATAATATATCTTACATAATTAAATAGGGCTACGTAATCTAACGTTCTTCCACTTGGCCCATTAATTGGTAAGATACAAAAAGATTTAAAATAAAAAATAAATAAATAAAATTTATTTGAAACCAATTTTACCCAATTAGATTCTGAAAATTTTAAAAACTATTTACATATGAGTGAATTTTAAAAATATGCCAATAAGTCCAATAAATATAATAATACTACATTAAGTCTAACTAACAATATCAGTCATAATTGTTGTATGTCATTAATGTCATATTTTCTTTCATATACTATAACATTATTAGTATTTTCTAATACAGTCCAAAATGACCCTTGTAATTTGTTTTGTCAAGACAATCCTATCATTATGAATAAGATAGCAGAAACAAATGACTTTAAGTACGTAAGCAAAAATATCAATTATAATGTCCAATCAAACATGCATCACCATATCCTTTATAGGTTGCTCACAAACACAATCATAAGAACATGTTCTTTTAAAACACTTTAGGTTATAAGCCATAAGTAAATGAATCGGCAATCAATATAGTGGAACTCAAGTAATTAATTGACATTAGATGTTTCTCGACTCTTCTTCTCTAACCATCAAGTACTTTATATCATAATGTATAGAGATGCAATAGTATTTGTCATTCCTAGAGAAAAAAATTATTGCAATGTCATAAAATATCTTCAGTAGCCCAACGAGTTTGACCACACCGAGTCTTGAGATAAAATTTCATAGTTATAAAGTTTGATCAGTGGCCTTCTTACAAAATTAACTTCTATTAATAATAATATAATAATAAATTACCTTTCTAATTAATATAGATATGAATCATAATGTGGACTTCTTATTATCAAGGTAATTTATAAAATCAACATATGAAAAATATCATTTAATATAATTTCATACACGTGAGTGTATAATACTTCGTCTTTCCAAATATCTTATTACTTTCTTTTTAGTCCTTTAGTATTTTTATTTTTAGGTAATTTCAATATATACTTAATATTTTAACTGTAAAACTAATATATGTTACCTTAATATTTACCTTAATATTTTTACTTAATATTTCATAGTTATAAATATATACTTAATATTTACTTTTAGGAGAGTTCCTCCCAAATGAATATTACCTTAATTGAACTTTATTTATATTAGTTAATAATCATAATTATAATTCAATCATTTTTATAATATATTTTATCTAATTAAATAGGAGTACACAATCTAACGGGTTAATCCAAATATTCCTCTTCGTTCTAAATTATCATGTATTCATTGGAGTCTGACCTCAGGGCCAAAGAGTCAACCCCACTTCCCGGGCGCATTGATGGAGGTGTTGGACGAACACGAGGACTGCCTCTGACTGGTTCAGGAAGAGAGAATTCAGCACATTAATCATGTGGTGGGGCGCACGTTGGCACCACTTCCGAGCAGAAGCCGCAAGCTTTTGTTAGATAGGTTAGAATCTATGTAGCCATATGTATATAGCTCAATGTTCGAGTATAGGCATATAGGATAATCGAAGCAAGTAGAGAAATAGATAGTCGTGATGGCATAAAGCTGCTAAATCTAAATCCAAAGTAAACTAATGGATGGAGGGGAAGACACCACATTCGAGTTTAATCGGTTTTTGCTATCGAAAGAAGTCTACTTGATAATAGGATTTGGGGATTAAATCTCAGTTTTACTTCTTACCACTTCTTAAAAATAAGTAAAAATAAAAATCTTGTAGTAAATGAGAAAGAGAAGAATACATGTGAGAAAATGGTCATACGGACATAGAAATTATCATCGAAGTTTCAGAAAAATAAAAAAGAAAAGAAAGATAGCTCATTTTATGATGTATTTGGGCATCCTAATTAGAGAATATCTTAATTCATCAATTAGTTTCAGAGCTTTAAATGTGTGTATAAAATAGCTCTATATATATATATATATATATATATATATATATATATATAATATGAGCTCATATATAAGGGTTAGTTAGAGATCATCTCTTGTATTTAGTTACCTTTAGTATTTCAGTTCTTATATTTTAAAAAATTATATTGGCCTCCATATAGTTACAAAAGTAAAACATCTAAATCCATTTATTAAAATACTAATGATTTTACTAATAAAAATATAAAAATATAAAAAATAATCTTAATATTTTAGTTAGTGATGACGAATAACGTTAGTGGTGATGGATGTCGATATCGATGTAGTTACTGAGCGATGAAAGTGCCACCTATGCAAATATCGAGCAACCCTTTCCCAGCTTAACAACTATATCATTATCGACATAAATGCAGAATGGTTAAAGGATCGCTCGACAACTACATTAGCATAGATACAAAGCAATCCTTATCTCTCGTCGTTGCTCTCTTTAAAAATGGACTTAAATATTTTTCTTTCGTAAGTAGAGGTAATAACCTTATATATGATATATTTAGGCATCCTAATTAGAAAAGATCTTAACTCATCAACTAGTTTTAAAGCTTTAGTGTGTGTGAGAGAGAGACTCTTAAGAATGTATATTTCTGTAGGAACCATTGAGATATGTATATTTTCTTTAAAAGAAAGTAAATATAGCATTAGGCTTGGGATGTAAGATGATTGATGTATGCAACTCTGTATTATTATATATAGAGACATTATTTTCGGAGATTCGAACTTTAATCTTTTATGTTCTAAGGAATACTAAAGCACATCTTTTTCTATATACAACAGAATGTACTTTGCACAACTATTCCATCTCTTCCCATATTTTTGAGTGATTTCCATCTTTATTATGAGGTTGCTCACTTTCATTACCATTTTTTTATGTGGATAAACACGAACTATTTTCTTGATTATGTACTCATGGATGATGGTGATGATATCGGAAACAGTCAACGCCTAGTGGGCGTTGACTGTTTGATAGACTTAGGAACCGAACAAATGTCTAAGGTCAGATCAACCGTCACACTTGTCCTCCTCCATGCTCCGATCATCCTGCGTCACCGGCGGCCAGCGACCGATCGCTAAAGGCCTGTCGCGTCGACGGTGGTGCATATATGCTCACTGAGTTGGAAGCCTCGCCGAACGATTACGATTTGACGTCGTCCTCGGAGGTGTTGAGATCGTCGACGGCGTTGGCGTAGAGCTCCTCCATGGGGCGGTCCCGGTGTGCTGGTCGGCCAGGTTTTGGATGTAGGGGGGAATGGGCGATGGTGATGTCAAGGGCGACGAGGGTGAGCCCATTGACGGCGGTCGCGGTGATGCATCGGGGTTGCATGCTGGTGCATGTGCCGGCGATGAAGGCTTCATTTGCGTGGGAGAAGCGGACGTGTGGTGGCGAGGATATCATCAAGATATAGCCATGTAGTGAGAAGAACGAAGGCTTTGACTTGACCGTTATGTGCGTGTATGTGGCTAGCGCACCTGAGTCAATTCCCAGGTTGGTGGGTCAACGGCGGAAGAGATCAGCACAGGGAAATAGGAGGAATCATGTGATGCATGCTTCAACCACTGATGTAGCCTTTGACTTGACCGGTGGCGTAAGAAGGGGAAGTAAAGCTGTAGAAGACGATTAAGCGAATTCACGTGCGTGACACGTGCTCATGGGCTGTCGTCGAGAACGACACGCCCACATGGATCGGGCCGCCATCACTGCGTCGAATGACCCATTCACCTTCTCACCTCCTCACCTCTACCGGCCATTGACGTTCACCTCAAGGAAGACAACGAGAGGTAAACCAAGCAAGATAGAAACAAACAAGGCGAGAGAGAGAGAGAGAGAGAGAAAGGGAAAAGGGAAAGCAGAAACGGGTCCTCCTCCTCCTCGTCTTCCTCGTGGGTATCTCCCTCTTTCCAGAGAGAATTCTACTGCACACAGAAGAGACGCAGGTGACGATTCGATCCACACTTGTTCCTTGTGAATCAGCTTCAGTGCTCACCTATTGCTTCTTCTTCTGCTCGCTTGATCGAGGTAGTTTGGGGAAGGGAGCAGGCGGTGATGATGGAAGGCTTCTCGCCGGCTTCTCCTCCCCGGATCTTTTGGAATTCCCGCAAGAGATCAGGTGAAGCAAAGATTCTCATCACTGTCTTCTCTTCTCTTCCCCCCAATCTCATCGGATTCCCTCTCCAATTTTAGTCTATTTTATCTATATTTTTCCTAAATTTCTTGGTCGAGAAGGAAGAGAGAATTATTATTGTTGTTGGTAGAGAGCAGAGATGATTTCTTGGGTGATACGATACGTCACGGATCAGACAGTGCAGGTTTCTTACCGGTGATTGCCGATTTGGGGCTGCCGTGCCTGTTATTCCCGCATCTTCGCTTTACCGGCATCACCGGGAGTAAGCAGAGGGCACATTGCCTCGAGCTTGCCACTGTGTAGAATCTGCTGATGGCGCAGGAAGAAGAAGTACTGACGTGTGATCGGAATCTGCTTACAGCTACTGCCCGGAGCTTGGAAGACGCAGCAGTGCGCGCCGTCGCTCGAGCGAAGGAACCGGGTGAAACAGCGAAAGCCCACCCGGCTGCGGCTGACGAGCACCGCCCGGAGGAGGAGGAGGAGAAGGTAGGCAAAGCCGCTTTGTCCGAACGTCGGCAGGCGCTGTTCGAGCCACTGGAGCCCAGCTCCTACGGGCGTCGCACCCCGGCCGACGTCCTGCTCCCTCCGCCGGACTTCGATCCCACCTGCTACCCCAAGGGGTGGCTGGTGGGGAAGAAGCGGAAGCTCGTGAACGTCGACGTGGTGGAGAGCATGCGGAGGATCGCGATCCAAGAGATGAACAGAAAGGTCTGTAGCTTCCACGCACGCATGGTATTTGCAGAAATGGCAGACCGGGATTCACGGGTGTGCGATTGGTGTGACAGGACAAGGAGATCGACGGACTGAACGAGCAGCTGGAGGAGGACGCGCGCTGCCTGGAACACCTGCAGGTGCAGCTACTGGAAGAGCGGAGCAAAAGGGTGGAGGCGGAGAGGCAGAACGCCATGCTTCAGGACCAAGTCTCGATGCTCATGAACGTGCTGGAAGAAACCCAGGCAGTAGAAGAGGAGGCCTCTGGGGATCACTAATGCCTCCGACGATACCATTCCTTCTACCTTCTACTCTATATGGATCACATTAAATTCATATGTTCAACTAAATTCATGTACGTGTGTTGTGTGCATTCACTTGTAATGTTGCAGTCTGCGAAAGGTGTGAAGATGTAATTAACAAAGCATATATACAAAAGATTAGTTTTGCTATTCGATCAAAAGATTGATGACTCCAAAGCATATGAGAAGAAGGCTAACATCAGTTGCATTAGAGGCACAAATTGAGGAGGGGCAAAGAGTTACCTGTTTCCATGCCTGCTTGTTTCAGCATCTTTGAGACATGTCGATCAACAACTTTGGCACCTCAAATATCTATCTCTTCAGATGAGATGAGTGACTGGCCACCATCAAGTAACTCGTGTTGGATGATGTTCATCATCAGATCCAGCGTTGTATGTCGTGTCAGTCTCTATCACTGAGAAGAAGATACATCAGCTTGCACGTCGCTGCTGCGCTCCATTTGGAAGCTGTGTCAGCCACTGTAACACTGAGAAGACACCGTGCCATGGCTTCCAGAATCACTTTGTTTGAAGGAACAATTGTAGAGGATGAAGGATTGTCTGAGGTCATCGGCATGGATCCTTGAGGTCCAAGAAAGTTCAATCGATCCCACCAGTTCGGGTAGATTGCCCCTGTCCCCCATTGATACTACTTTCTTCCACGGACCAAGCTTTGGTATCTGAAATGATAGTGCAGGTTCAAATTGAGAAAGATCAAGGTAATACTGGATAACCAGTTTAACAGCATAGCTCTGGAGCTGGTCTTATTACCTGAGCTTGGTGCAGGAATATCCTGAGAGTCACAATCTTGTGTCCTTCCAAAAGAATTGTGTACCTCATTCTTATTACACATTGACGACAAGTTCAAAGAAGGCTGAGAAGGCTCCATAATCATCCCTAATGTCATTAAGAATATGGCATTTATTATCACCTTGATCCTTGTAGAGAGAGTATGAAGAATCGAAGTATGGAGAATCTAACACACAGTCTGGTTGCTGACTTTGTGACTTCGGATGTGGATCACGATCAATAAGCTGCTTAGAAAACTTGCTTAACTGGCCTCAGGGACATTGAAGCATATGCCTCCTACAGCAACAACACCACATGAAAAATCACTTAGGTATGACAAAGTAGGGTTGCTTTTGCATTTCCAATTCGACAGTCAAAAGCATATTGCAAATTTAGGAACAGAAACCATAGTCGAGCAGTCAGCAGTTAAACTTATTCTTGTAATGTGAAGAATAGGGATAAACCAGTTGTACATGATAAATCAGAGGTGGAGGTAGTTTCTAGGCCTAACAAAAAGAGAATTACTGGGCAGAGATAATGCCTAATACACTAATTGCGTAGTTTACAGAAAACTGGTATATTTTTGCAGGACATAAATCAGCTGCAGTTATGTTTTAAACAGCTTGAAATAATAAACTGGTGCATTGATTAAACTTACAAAATTCTGATATTGACCGGTTTGATCAAATTAGTAGCTAGTTAACACAACACCAAACTAGTAAATTAAAGTGCTGGCGTTTGACCATATATTACAAAGTGAAAAAAAAAAAATTGTTTCCTTCAATATAACGAAACGTGTCATTTTAGTACCATAGTCTATTCTAAACATGTTCCAGAAACAACCAATTTCGAAACAAGCATAAATTTTGTTCATTTTCGGCATGGCATCTTCAATAACACATAACTGGATCCATACTTGATTTGTAGAAGCACCAGAATACTTGCAAAATATAAATGACAAAGAGCAAAGAAAAATTATTTTTTTTTAAACTCCAAGATTATGTTGGTGCGGATGGCATATTAATCAAAGATTAAAACATTCAAAAGCAAAAGAACATTAACAAAGGTTAGAAATGCATCTCATGTATATTGTGTGAAAACATATGAAATGTCCTCACAAGACAATTTTGGAGACAACAGGTAATCATTCTGACAACAATTTCCTAGTAGATTTCCCAAAATTATTATCCCTCCCCCAACTAATCTTCCATGGTAGTCAAATAGCCCACTCAGCCCCAGGTGACAAACCATTTCTTGAGTTTAGGCAATATCCTAGGCAAATAAGCAAAACCAAATGTCAAAAGCTTAGATAATGTCATTTTATCTTTCTTAATTAGCTATCACATGACCATTGTAAGTGACTGATACTACTTTTCAGAAATTACAATCTCAACATACCTCTAGTATTGTTGTAATATCGGTATTCAATGATTCTATAATAACTTGAAAAAGCAATTAGGCTAAACGTTTTAAAATAAAAACATTATGATTTGTATCTCAAGTGAAGCAGTAAATAAATGCACATATGCATGCATAAATGCATTTGTTCTTGTCATAATGAGTATACAAATATACATCCACTACAAATATACATGATCACACATACAATACATTAGTTAACTATTGCCCAGCCATTGCGAGACTTGGCTACTACCCAGGTATTAGATCAAATGCCTAGTTGATAACTCGTAATGAACAATGTACTGAAAGCTCTATCTATTGACCCATCATTTGAATGAGGACCTTCTGCTCTAGTTTAGGTGATCTAGTGTGAAGATGAACAAATTTCTAATCTCAGGTCAAGTACACAGTCACTAATCCTAAAACAGGGTGGCCAGTTCCCCAAGACTTTGAAAATGGATAAATAGTCACTCGAGGTGAGTAGGTGATCTCTTGTGACTGAAGAGCAACTTCCTAATCTCAGGTTGAGTAAGCATTCTGTAATCCCGAAATAGGATAAATAGTTCATCAGACATAAAAATGGATAAATAATTTCTCAATTTTGAAGATAATGTGAATACCCCAATATTCATCAGTCACTAGTTTCAACCTCTTTAATAGTATTTTAAAGATACACCTGGTTACCAACCATGAATTTTACATCAATTTTTTAATTTCTATTTTACTTTCAATTTTGAAAAGAAAAAGACAAAAATAAAGGAGGGGCTCTACATTTTAAGTTGGGAGAAAATCTATATAACAATTTGGAAGTAGGCTTATACAAAAAATTGATGCAAAAGGGACATCACTATGATCAAATTTCTACATCAGATCTATTAATTAGCAGAAGATGACATACCTAGTGGAACTTTAGCATAGGGAAATAAGTATAGGGGCCTTCCAAAGTGGTTTTTATTGCTAAACTAGCCTGATGCCTTAGACATTTACCCAAAAAGAGATGGGCTTGCTAACAGCAATAGCATAATTTGGGAAAGAAGATATATGCATGCATATTAAGGACAAACTGTATTACATAAGGAACTAATAAATGAATGCACCTTTTTTCAGAGATCTGGTACGCCAAAGTGGTAACAGACCAGTTCTGACTATCAGCAATGGATATCTGGTATGCCAAACCTCCATTATTTTGTCTGCCCAAATATGAGTAAGCTTTTAAATTGGAACCAATATTTTCTTCAACTGGTTCATTATTAGCTTCAAAACTAGCTTTAGTGACACAAAATAAAAAATTTGAATCCATGCATCTTGCGAATTCTGTACCAGTGCTCTCCAGTTATGGACATCAACTGGAAAAGTACAGTCCTGTATCAAGGATGTCAATTTACAACAAACAAAAAGCAAGTTTTTCTGAAATAAAAAAAAAACAAAATGCAAGTTCAAGACAATTCGATTCACAAGACCATCAGCATACTAACTAGCCAACACCAAAGACAAAAACAGCATAAAATAGTATACTTCCTCAAAAGTAAAAAATTGAGTTTATTGACATTTTGGTATCATGAAAGGACAAACATTTGACATCGATGGCCAAATCAAGAAATGCAATTTACCTATGTATTCTTGATTGACCATTTGCAAAGTCTGGTGCTGCTTGCCACATCGTCTGCTTCTTCGACTGAGGATCAGTCTCTTGGAAGAAAAGAGATGGTATTGAGTATTGACAACTAATAAACTTAGCTTGTTAATGGCTTGTTAGTGAAATAAACATCCACTTAAACAACATCCATAAAAAAAACAAAAACATACCACTATATCCAAAGTTCCATGACCACCTTTAGAGCATTTTGCCTTAATAACAATGATGCCGGACCAGTGAAATTCAATCTTGCTCTTGAGGCGGTATCCGAGAACTTCCCATATAAGTTTATGCTTCGCAAAGTAGCATTTTGCCACTAGATCAATTTCATTCCTTGAAACAAACTGTTCATCATCAGAACTCAGTTAAATTTTCAATGATTATGCCAAATCAGGAAAAATACTTGAAAAAAAGAATAACACAAACATACTGATCTGCATTACTATCAAGAATCCAAGATTATAACTGAACCAAGCTACAATCTTATACAGGGACTTTGAATCAAAGATTTAAATCACAGTCTAATATTGATTTTGGTAACCCAGATATTGAAAAGTACCAATACCCTGAACGGTAAACTGACCTGTGCAGCTTGGAAACATTCGATGAAACAATAAAAAATAAAGATAAATGAGATTATACTAGTATAAGCTGCATGTCTCAATACTAAAGTTTGGTCCGAGTGGTAAATACTGATTCATATTGACTGGTACAATCGATATGTGAAATATTGTTATGAAGAAACAATGTGCTCAACAATAAAACCCTCTGATTTATAACGATTGAAATCGAGAAAGTGAAGGTGAGTGACACAGCTTGGTTCACAATAATCAACCGTTTCACAGAAAGGAACTAATGTCATATAAGAAGCAGAGAATGAGCAGTTATGCAGACCATAAGCAGAGAAAATTTGAACAATCGAGTAACTTAGGATGCACGAATGTACAACAAATTGTGATGAATGAATGGATGGGCTGCACGATCTATCTAAAACCCCAACCATGTTGTCACCTACAGAAGTTCTCACCTCCCAGTTCCCAATCCTCAAAAGCGATGCAGAAAATTTCGTAGGTTCTGTCTTGTTAGAAGAGCACCAAGAAGCTAAAGGATTCAGTCCATGTCTGCTACCACTTTCCGAACACCCAAAGCTAGTGGAGCACGACACACAACCTGATGGAGGAAGTATCTTCTGAACCACATCCACTACAGACGGGCTCTTCGTGAGATGAAGACCAAACGGGCCAGCTTCCATACGTGCATTGTACTAAAAAGCCTGTAACAAAGCAGCATCAAAAGCCCTTATTACCCCTTTACCGCACAAGCAACCAAATCAAGAAAAAAAAGATTTGACGATTACTCTCTACTCGATCGAGTAAATAAAGATCAAATGGAGAAACTGGATGGCATCAAAGAGCAACGAATCTAAGGAAAGAACCGTAAAGCCGAGAGATATATCTACCTGCTGATCTGGAGGGTTCGCATGCCCGGATCTCTTGTTCGGAGGGCCGTGCTCGTCGCCCAACGAGTCCTCGAATCCCGACATCAGCGCTTGCGGTCGTCCGGCAGCCAAACCATACCGGAAAAGATTCCAAAGACGACGCACTAGAAAACGATTTCCACCGCCCCGTACCCCCTACGACCTCAAGAAGTCCCCGAGAAGAGTGGATTGAGACCTAACCCCGAACGCACGAATTCGGTAGAACACGAGTGGGACAGCCAACAGCTTTACATAGCTTCATATGGACCACGTCACCGAGGTGGAGAGATTTCTCCGGAAAAGGAAGGGGACAAAGATGGTCGATTTGGAGTCGAAGGACGGTATGGAGACGAGGAAGAACAGCTGACACGAAAGCATCCGTACACTTGTTTACACGTGTCACTCCGACGTTTCCACGTAGGTAGTTGATGTTTTGACTTGACACTCAGTCAAATTTTTGACGAATTATCGAAAAACTTTTGATCTTTAATAAATTTTCATAAAATATCACTTGCTTTTGCATGAGGAAGGATTAGGAGCGACGATCGTTGGCCCTCAACATCCTTGCTCGTAACCCTCTTGCGTAAGGAAATATCTAGCAAGATCCATGGATGTGATGATGATAACCATCATAGAGGGGGCGTGACGATCCTCATCATTTTTGTTTACGACCCTCGCATATAGAAGAGGATCCAACAAAGTCATTATCATAGCTCATTGCACAGGGGCAAAAGCACCGATAGATCTAATGAGACAGAGAAGAGGGGGGTGGGGGTGGGGGGGGGGAGCAAGACGAGAGACTTCCGTTCATTAAGTATACCATTATGCTTAATATTAGTTGTTGGGAGGTGATGCAAATGAAATCCTAATTAGCAAACAAGGTCATGAAATATGTAAAGATTAAGTAGACAAATCTTCAATTTGTAGGTCTAGCTTAATGGTGTGATTGATTATACAAATAAATCCACAAGAAGAGTCCTAACAAAAAAATTATGTAAGCAAGAGTTTAGATCAGAAAATTCCTTTCTTAATAAACCATTCATCAAATAATGTCATGACTCCCAAATCAAATAGTTAATATGAGAGTAAACTCTAGATATGTCACTCATAGCAAGTCATGTAAAATATTAACTGGCTAAGTAAAACAAAGAAATCAATCTTGTTGAGTCCAGTATAAATGTAGATTAGTATACCAAGTAGCTGACATGAGCTAAAATAACATTAGAACTTAAATCATGAGCAGTACAACCCATTGAACTCTGGTACAAAGTACTAACAATCCTCTTCATGTTGGTGTTGAGAAACAAACTTTACTGAACATGACTGCCAAATTTGTAAAGATATGAATAAGCATAAGTCATCTAACTACTAAGGCACTGAAGCAAATGGATATAAACATGATTCAGATGGTATTCTAAATGTTTAATGCAATTATTTGTTTCTGGCATGATGGAAAATAAATTTGGAAAGAACAAGAAAGAGTATAGAAAGAAACAAACTGCAATAGTATGTAGCAACAACCTAAGGGAATTCATAACATCTAAACATTATTGCTCAAACTTGTCCCACTCAAGTTTGTGCAACCTCTTACAAACGATTATACATTAAGATTTGGCAACTATATTCTGCAGCAAAGTATATTCTTGGCAACAAAATAGAACTGATTTATTCTCAAGAATCAAGCATGTATTTATGGCTTATACAATAAACAGATATAACTTTGCCAATAGTCAATAAAAAAAACTGAGACTTCAAGCTCTATCTTGCACAAACTTAACCGAGATTGTTGGTTCATATCATCAACTTTCTAATATGGTGTGGGGGAGGCGTCTTTGATGTTTTAGGAGCAAAAAGGAAATGATAGCATAGGGAAAAGGAACAACATGAAATATCAGACAAAGGAAACTTCAGAACATGTTATACAGCTTGTTTTCCTTGTGTATGTCTATGACTACTAAGAATTATTTACTGAATTCTATTTAAATAGACATTTGCATTTCTTATAGTCATAGTGTAAGTTCAAAAATTTGATAAATGCTATGTCTAACATGATGATGTAAGCAACAGATATAGATCAACTAGATCAAAGAAGGTCCACCACAATTTTTTCATGGAAAGAGAAAAGACTGAATGACTGCAAGTAAAAATTGTCAAAACTGATGCTGTTTGTGTTAAAGAAGCCGAAAATTGCTAATTATGTAGTAAAATCATTAAAATTCCTAAAATATTTTGAATGTCATATCTTGTTGTTAACCACCATTTAATTAGAACAAGGAAACAAAATACACACCGTTACAAGATACAACAACAATAACAGCAGTCTTAAGTGAAAGATGTAAAGAAAAATGCCCTTACATTTTTCGGCATTACAATCCCTACTCATGAGTATATTGCATACTGAATGTAACAAATATTCGAAGAATGAAGACCTTACAATCTCACTTCTGGATCTTGACTTCTATTAATAAGATGAATATTGAATAAACTGACCCTTTCTTCTGGATGCCCTATCAATTATCATTTTATGGATACCACAAGAGAATCAACATCTTCTTCTTCCTGTCAAATATATGGACTTCTTGGCTCAACTGAGCAATAAATAAAAAAGTCTTCAAATAAATCAAACCTACAACAGCCCTCCAAATTTGGCATGTGTACATTCTTCCACTCAATATCGGATTTGATCAACAAGAGAAACCAGTTCAATATTTTTGATGTCATCTATGTCTCTTTCATGAGCTTCCATATTATCATTTCCATTAAGCAAGTCAGCAGGAAGAAGCGTAGAATTTTGATCACTTATGGGTACTAAAAACAACAGAACTAATGGTATTACTCGCATTATGTTCCTAATCAATATGGCAGCCCAAAGATTACTGAATTCTGTTCGTGTAACTTTTAGCAAATGAAGTAGCAGACCACCAGCCCAGGACGATGTGAGTAAGCCGAAGTTATCAATGGACATGAGCAGAGCAAAAAAGGTGCCCTCGATGCCAGAAGGACAAAGCTTGGAACTCAGCACAAGAAGTGGCATCCACTTGATACGGCCAATCAAGTGTGAAACACTCTCATCGATCACAGCAAAGAAATAATCAGGCAATCCAATCTTCAAGTTTAAACGAAGTACCAAAGCTAAGTCCAACATTCCAGCAAGACCAGTAAGCAACTGACTCCAAAAGAGCAACTGGCGAAAGGGATATTCCTTCAGAATGTTTTGGTACAGTAGCACTCCAAGGAGAGAACCCACAGAGGCAAAGGAAAAGATAAAGCCAATCGTTTCCTGCATGAAAACAGAGTTTCCATACGCTCCAAGAAATGAATATGATGTTCAAACACTTAAAGAGCAGAAATACCTGAGAGAAGGATGGGCCTGATTTTTTATCTGTGTACCAATAAAACATTCCTTCGTGGATATTCAAGCTTAAAGCAAGAGACACGTACATGTATACACATGGTCTCCAGACATAAGGGGATTGTAAAGTTGTCCACATTGTTTGGCTGGCTTGCTGTAACTTTTCGAAGACCTGATAAAAGAACATAGCATAAAAGAATGAAACAAAATATTTAAAATTGACAATGTAACTTATCCTCATTTTCAACAGCCAAATCTAACCTGTCCATAAGCAAAGTTTGGTATGTGCATGTCCTTTAGTACCATTCCAACAGAGAGTACAAGTGCTGAAGGGATGCTAAGCACGCCAAATACCCCCTTTGCGATTAAAGAAAGTGAACATTTAGACAAAGTAAAACTCAGAAGGAAGAAACTGTTTTCTTTACTAACAAGGCTTTGGATTTATACTTTAGTATTTGGATGGAAGGTGGAACACAATCATTGCAATTTTTGCAGTACTAATAAACCAGACAAAGGCTTGATAGGGAAAAAACTAGTTTAACTGGGACCTTCCAAGAAACTAACCTGAGAACCAAGTGCATGAACCAGTAGGCCACTGATGGAATAACCCAAAAGTCGTCCAATAGATGAACTTAATCCACACAAGCTTTGCATATCAGAAGCAAGGAAAGGATGGTTTATACTGTTCTGTGCAACACAAGCATCTATAGTCACATCTGCTATTGCCACACTTGCACTTCCTGCGGTTATCGCCAGCAAAGCAAACACAACATGGAGTTTGCTATGCAGAGCTAGAGTGAGCATCGATATAATTCCCAGAAGACCTGCATTTTTCATTAAGATATTCTCAGCTGATGTTATTGAATAATAGCTACAGAAGACACAGTTATGTATTGGTTAAGGTTAATAGCTATGAATCAATGCATAAGATCATAGCTTTAGCCAGTTAAGAACCATAGATGAAGTTTATGTTAGAACAATGATAAAGAAATTATAATGAAAACACAGTTTATTTTGGACTAAGAGGCTGGATAGGCAACAATTAATGACTAAGAGGCTGGATCGGCAAAAATTAAGGAGTAAGAGGCAGGATAGGCAATAATTAAGGACCAAGAGGCAGAATTATGATAACTAAGGGACCAGTGATGCAAGAAGATGCACAAAGAACATGCAAAAGACCCTACCAAAAATCTAAGTAGAGAAGCATATGACTAATATCCTTTTTGTTATCAGACATCACTAGTATGTTCAATATAAGACACCGTGAAGAACAAATAGAAAATTGAATCTTTTATTTGCAAGTCTAATGACTGATATCCGCAAGGCAGATCTTGGATCAAAACCTGAATTTTCTTGACCGGTGTAGACTCCATAACACCCTTCACAATCTAAAGATACATAAGGTGCCAACCCACAGTAAATTAACATCGAAAAATCCAGATGCTCAACAAAATGCAACTTGCAGATCAGAGCAAAATAAATATAATCTATATTAAGCTAAAGGACAATGGCATCGGCTTCCTTGCCTGATAAGATAAAGTAGGGTCGCCTCCTATACCCAGCGATGGGAAGTACGTCAGTAAGAAGACCCCAGAGAGGCTTGACGATCCAAGGAATCGAAATGATTCCATGGTAGACCTGGGCGGCCGAAGGCTGCACCATCTGGACATCCTTCCAGTAGTAATCCGTGGCAACCTTAGCAATGGCGCCGCCAAACCCCTGGCTGATTCCATACACTGTGATGACTCCAAATACAAAGCTCCAGTGCATCTCCTCCGCAAGCATTCTGAACCAGCGCAAAGGAGACCAATTCGGATACCGACACCCTCCATTGGAATCTTGGAAATCTTCATCAGGGGCTTCCTTCTGCTTCACGCCCTCTCCAGCTAACCTAATATTTTCTTCCATGCCCTCCGCATCGTCGTACACTTGGGAAGATAATGGAGACACCATTCAACCAATTTTTGCTCCTCTTTGTCAAGATCTCCACAGACAACTTCCAATAAATGCCTAAAGGTATCGTTTCTCACGGTTCTTGTTTGAGCTCACTCAGATGGGTTTCCTTGTTAAGATCCAAACGAACACGAACCATGAAATTAGGCTACAAGAAGGGAACTTTCAGATCCAGAGGCTGCCGTAATCATCACAGCGCCAGAAGGATACAAGATTTTCTCACCCAGTCAACAAATTTCAGACGAAAAATACGTTGCTTCCCATGGATTTCACGTGGCGTCGCAGAGAAAGGTGTCCTTGTTGCGCTCCAATATGGCCCAAGAACACCGAAGTAAGACAAAAAGAAAGGACTTTTCGATCAAGAACCGTTCCTTTTGGCACCAGTAACTCCGATCCCGCGAAACAGGAACTTGCGTTCGGATCAAATTACTGAGAAGAGAGGGGAAAAAAGCAATTTCTATGACAAGGAACCACCAAAATAAGCACAAACAGGACAAAATTTGAAGACGAGAACGAAACCAAACTCGGATTTGTAGAAACGACGCCGCAAACTCTCAGAAAATCCGGGATTCCTCGCCGGAAGGCGGTGAGCAGAGAATGCTATGGGCCGAGCCGCGGGGTTGACCAACCTCGCTGCTCGATCCAAACTTAACCCCAGAGGCGAATACTTCCCGCACCAAGCACTCCCTCACACGCGCGTCCCCGACGGCGTGGGACCCGCGTCCTGGTGCCGGCCGTTTTGTTGGAAATTAGCTGTATTTGACCGGCCACCCGTTTTTTGCACCCTTCTCATGCAAATGTTGTATGTGATATCATTTAATCAAAGGTTTACATCACAAATCAGTACCAAACTTCAACCTAATAAATGGAACATTACCATATACACTCTTTGTACTACATAAATAGAAATTTCTAGAAATTCTGATATTTATTTATTTATTTATTTATAACACTATCTTCTTTTTTTAGGTTTGGGAAGCAGAGAAAAAAAATATTAGATTTGGGACATTTGGATCTGGGCGCGTATGATTCGAACGTACGTATAACATCTCCCATTTAATAATGGATGATTGGGGACGTGGCGGAAGGGGATTGGGTCCATTAACTTGGGGACGTCATACAAGTGGATCACGTTGTTTGGCACAGTCAGTGACCGGTGAAGCATTTGATCTATTTTTTAATAAATTAATGATATAATAATAACAACAACAACAATATGAACAAGAAAATAAAACTACTGAATTAAAATGAGTAGTTAATTCATAAAATGATTATATGAAATTATCGATCATTAAAATCAAGTTATTTTATTATCTTTCCAATTTAATAATATTAAAAAAATAATATTGAAATTAAGAGAAAAAGGGAACGTAATAATTTCAAAATCAGGAAAGAGGCGGGAGAAGCACCGAAAAGAAAAAGGAGCAGAGAGATAATGGAACGGCGATGAAGGCCTTGAGCAAGGCGAGCCGCGACCTCGTCCAGCACCAGCACGATCAGGAGTCCCGGCGTTCCTACCAGAGCAAAACCCTAAAGATCAAGATCGATTAACTCGTCTTGTTGTTTGTTCTGGATTTGGATTTTTATCCCTTTGATCTGCAGGCGAATCCGTGCAATCGGCTCGAGGAGATCTGCCGCGAACTTCGCACGGTACTTCTCTCTCTTGCTTAGACGTGTAAGAATTTGTGGTATATTGATTATATGGAGCTAGGAAGAGAAAAACCCAGTCATGGGCAGTATCGAACGGATTAATAATGTGGGGATGTTATAGGCATGTGGGCGCATGAAGAGTGTTCGGCGATATGCAGTTGCTTGCAACCTGGGTCAAAGTAGCACTGGGAATGTAAAGTTGACTCCCGTTAAAGAGGATGTAAAGGTATCTCTGCGTAGGAAAGTCTCAGTTGGTCATCTTTAGAACTCGGATGATAAGGATACCAATCATATGAGACAACTACATCCATTGTCATTATAAAGCTGTCTTGTCATCTCAATAGGACTTCAATACAAAATGTAATTGCAAATGAAGGGTGAAATACTGTATCTTGTACCTACACATTGCTTTAAGTCTGCCTTTGGTCATAAAATATTGATAGATTCTGACAACAAGTTCCACTAAATTTGGAAATAAATTAAATGCTCACCATTTTCACCTGCAGGATTTAATCGACAAAGCAAGAAAATGTTCGTAGCAGGGGTTACTGGCTTCTTCTGGTCCTTCCTCCATGAGCACATAAATTGAATCTGATGACATGGCATGCACAAATTTGAACTAGGTGATTGATACTCTTTCTTTTGTTGCTTCATTATGACAAATTTTAGTGTGTTCTTTCTTGGTTTGTTCTATCCTTGGTAGATTTTGTGTAATGTTGAATATTTCTGTTGAATCATGTTAATATCTGAGCTTCTTTCTTCATCCTTTATGTAATTCTGTACGAGCACATTGTGATGAAATGCTTCGGCACTGTCTCAGGTGTGCTTGACCCTTCAGAAGGAAGCAAAATAAATGTGTTATGGAGGCCTCTAGAGGATAAACCATGTATTTGGTACATCGAGTGTTTCCACGATGTTGTGAAGAGTGTAAGTTTATAATTCTTCGCCTTTTCTTACTTTGTGTTTGGTTTTTTAGATGGTACAGGAGACTGTTGCTTTATGTAGACTTTCCATCATTGCTAACCAAAGTGGATCTTAAGATCCATGACAATATGGGATTTGATTTGAAAAGGCTTGAGAACTTGTGCTTTAAAAGAGCTGAGCTCATCATGAGTTGCTAAGCCTTGTAGCAAAACCCGTACGGTGACTAGTCAAATTAAGGCAGCATGTTAAGATAGCTTGTGAAATAGTAGATGATACACATACAAAAGTTGAGGGTTGATCATGAATCTAGAACTGCTCATTTGACTGGATCACAGCCAAATATGAACTTTTCCAGTTGAACTCGATCAAGCTACCCACATACCCTGAACATACGCTTGTGCTGAGCCAAAGCACACCATAGCTAAACTTTTGCAGTTGAGCTTGCTTGACTGTGGCCAATGCCCTAGATATATGTCCGTGCTCAGCCAACATATCCCATAGCTTTTTAACTTCAGATTGTCGGTATTATCCCCAAAATATTGGAATGCACGGGGATCAGCATTGTTTTGCCTGTACTCTATGGGCAAAGAAAAAATCATTTGGTTTATTGAGATGTTTGGTCAATTCATTGGCTTAAGGTCCCTCAGAAACTTGGCTGGGCAAGAGAATCTTAATTTGGTCAATCCATTTATTTTAATTAATTTTTATCTTGTTCAGCTCAAGTTAACTATATCTGATTGCTTCATTATTATGAATGCCTTTGCTGCATGAAAATAGTTCCTCTTCTCACAATCAAAGTCAATGTGATTATGATTCCTCACCAGAAAATTGAAGCTCTTGTCAACTTCAACTTTATATTGCTCATCAAATTATAAACGTCCAATTTTATATGGAAAACAGCTTAACTCATTTACAAAATTCTTGCACCCATACAGGATTTTGAAGAATGAATAGCTCAAGTGAAAGCAAAAACTGGTCTACCTCTGCACCTCCACAATATAAAATATATGACTAAACTTTCGCATAGAGATGAGGCTGGGATGCTAATTTATTTCATGGGACGAGAAAGACACTGATGAGTACATAAATCAGATGCTTTTCTGGTCATTAGTTCAGGACAACTGAAGTGAGAAGCAAAGAGCAATAAAACCATTGAGCTAATGTGCATGGATGATGTATGCATATCCTGGAAAATTTTTGAATGTTATGTTAACACCAGGATGACTTCCTCTTATGCAAATCCCGATAGCCCCTTCTGCAGCATCTGAACCTTTTTCTTAGTGCTAGCCTCTTTTGTTAGTTGCTAAGAAGTGTATCATATAAACTGAAATCGTTCAAATATATTATCCTACTCCTGTGTGATATTCATGTTGCTCATATTGTGGATGATAGAGTATCAATTATAATCTCTAAACTTAATTAAACATATGACTTTTTACATATTTCAATGACGATAAAAAATCCATGTAGCTGACCCAAGATAGTTGAGACTTACAGTTTTATTATTGTTGTTATTGTTATTAGCATATCAGTGATAATATTTCCCATTGATACCTATGACATCTTCATGCTTAAAATCTTCTATTCCATTTTTTTCCTTTGAATTCTTCAGCAAATTTTATCCTTTATTGACCTCAATTAAACCCTATAACCTGTGTATGGGTATCAGATAAAGCTTCTCCTCCCAGTTTTGCAAACCTTTTCGATGCTTGGATTAATGATTCTGTTCCTCCATCTTGTATCCTGGCAGTTTTTTGAAGTACCTGATTAATGAAAACAGCACTAGGTTTCCTCACCTATCAGATTTCAATATAGAGCGAGCTTATTGCTAATCTTGTTCTTGATTTTGTTTGTTGACCCGCCATAAACTTGGAGGTGGCAATGGATCTGGTCAAATATACCAACCTGTGGTTCCACCAGTGCTTCCAATCACTTGGCAGGTTTGCCGTTGGGTACTTATTATACTTAGCTAGATGCTTCAACCTTCACATGTGTTTTCATCTTTATGATTGAGAATTCTGCAGTGCTTAACTTGTACATTACTGTTGCAAACCAGGTGACCGAACTCACTGTTTGTAGTGGGTGATAACCAGTCGCTCCACAAAAGTTTTGCTTGACTATGGCAAGAGGTTACCAAGAGACCACCAAATAAAAGTTCCCCACATTTATCACAACAAAAAGCTCCAATTGCAGTGGAAGGTATGAGCTGGTTTAGCATTTATGATACTGCAATGCTTCTAAATTTATGTGCATGAGCATGTATCATTTTCTATGCCCAAATGTGCATAAGCATGCCAAAATTAAACCTATACGGCTAGCTGTGATACAGATGTATGGAGTCAAACCTTGGCTAGTTAGTTGTGCAAATAAATAGAGGTAGTTGAAGCTTTAATGTCTTCAATCTTTGTGCAGGAACTTGATGTGCCCACAGTGTGCATCCACTTCAACCCAAGTGACCTCATATCGCAGTGAAAAGAAATCCATATCCTGTTCCAAAGCTACACCGAGAATTATGATGCCAGTATATCCTATGAGAACTAAAAAATGCATCAGGACTAGCTTTACTTACCTGTCAGGGCACATCAATGGCTTTGTGTGCAGTCTTTTAGCAGCCAGGTTGATGTGGTTACCTGAACTAGTGACTGTATACAATTTCACCAATGCATCTCAGAAGCAGGTCAACGAAGTTATGTAAGCAGCATGGACAGGGCTTCCATCTCAATGAAGAATGACCCATTTACACACTGTAGCCAGTGGGCACAAGTTGCAGCTGTCGAGCCTTTTCTTTACATATTCACTCTGCAGCCCAAACATTTCAGGTTTTGTTTCTTTGCAGCTGAACTAAAGGCAAGCAGCAGATGGAGGTTTGCTGACTTCTGAGATAATTCTGCTACACTCAAGAACTGCACTTATTGTGCTATGTATTGGAAGCCTGAGTTGAGCTTGCTAAAATGCAGTTGTGTCTGTGACAGACTGGTGGAAGAGTTAGAAGGGAAGCCTGTTAATACCTTTACCATGACATTGAATTAAGGGTGTCAGATTCGTAGGCCATAGCTCTCCCACGATAAATGGTCTTTGGTGGTGCTGTACTTTGGTTAAGTACTCAGCTTTGTCAAACATTCTCACCCAGTAGATATACTAAATGGCAAGAAGAAACATTATGGGTTCCAGCCAAAAGAAGCTCAGAAAATGTTGCCTCACTTCATAACTAGTGTTCACTGTGCTGAGCAGGAATCTTTACCGCTGCGTCAAAGATAAGTTTCTTGACCTGATGATCATTTTAATGATTGGTTCAGAATCTAAACTATTTTCAATGTCCAGTTTAACTCTTGCAGTGTGGATTTGGTCGCTTCTCAACCAGCAAAGTTGCAGCCTTCGATGGACAGCTGTGGTTTAGCTGGAGAGCTACTTTGGCATTGAATTCAAGCTAATAAAACCTGTTTCTGAGCTACATACGATCAAGTGGAGCACACTGTGGTTGACGGATGGATTCCATTTATGTTCTCCTATCTGTCACCAACTTAATGCTGTCTTTAAGACACTCGTCTTATCCTGCCTACTTTCTCTGCACATTAAACATACACACCATTTCAAGTACCAGCCCTGCTCCCTCACCCTCTCTCGTACAGCCAATGGTGAACTCCTAAACCTCTTTGATGGACCCTAAACTGCACCAAACCATCCTTCTCTCTAGCTTCAAGCTCATACCATTCATCTTTATTGCAGTGTTTCTCTTGTCAACTCCATCGGCATCACAACTCTCTTCAGATTTCTACTTGTTCTCATGTCCAAATGTAGAACGGCTTGTAAGGAACACCGTGGAGTCGGCTTCTGCGCTTGACTCCACCATTCCAGGCAAACTCCTTCGCCTCCTCTTCCATGACTGCTTAATTGAGGTTCTAACAATGTCACCCCATTCCAATTTTGGTCTTAAGATCGCTGCTTGGAGAACAGAGTAGCCCTGAATGTCTGTTACATATCTTATAAGAATTGTTTCTCGTTACAGGGATGTGATGCTTCTGTGCTGATACAAGGGAAAGGGACCGAGAGGAGCGATCCCGCAAACAAGTCGCTCGGTGGATTCTACGTGGTAGATTCAGCAAAGGAATTGCTTGAAGTCCTGTGCCCTGGAACTGTGTCTTGTGCTGACATCCTGGTTCTTGCTGCAAGGGATGCTGTGGAACTGGTAAGTTTAGAATGATGAACTTTCATGATTCTAAATGATCAAATTACATTCCAAAATGACGTTGATCGACTTTTGATGAATCGATACATGAATATTTGTCCTTGTTATAATACACATAGATCATATGTTATGATTATAAACAAAAAAGTGTACATTATCTTAAATCTTCGTTTGGAAATTGTAGAGTTTCAAAAATCTTTCAGTTAATAGCAATCAATGTTGCTTTAAAAACCTTTTTTTGCATTAGAGTCTCCATATGAATCAATGACTTATATCTAATGAACACCTTGAAATTTGATGGCAATTTGAATTAACCAATTGTTGCAATCTCATTGAACACATAAGCATCTTATTCCACTAAATCTAATGCAATATTTCGAATCATCGAGTATAGTCAACTGAGTTCTTGGAATTGGATATGCTTTCATTTTACCTTGACTTATCAACAAGATTAATACTCAGTTCAAATATTGGCTGTGCATTTTTCACTGCATTATCATGGGTGTTTTAAGGTGAAAAAAGGCTGAATTAAATGTTAGCATAGCCTTTTAAATCAACAAGTTTAACGAATTGTAGGTCGTAACAGAGTAAATTGCCTGCTAGTGACCTCAGAACCATTTGTGTCATTCCTTTTAGCAGTTGCATAGAGCAGGAAGATCAAAACTATTGTAGCTAACTGAACAAACTCTCGAAGAATTTGATCATATTGTCAACAATTTTAAGGCTCTATATCATGTTCACAGGGATATAGGTATTTGACACCTGAAGATTTAATTTTGTCCTGATTCAAAAGGACACTTAATTGACCATTCAAAAGTAGACTTTTTAAGATTGTCTTTATGTGAAGAACCAAATTCATGTAACAGCTGAAGCTGAAGGATGCTGCCATATTAGTGGAGAAGATAATCTATTTGGGTAATCAAGTATATACAAATTGTAATTTCCTAATACTCTTTGTACTTTGCTATGATGCTGCTTCAAAAATAGGCACATGCTCTTCGTCATCAGATAACATAGGTTGGCAATGAACTAGTTTTGACCCATCATTTCTTCAACATATCATGCAAGTTTCTGATACAATTGCCACTCACTGACTGATGACTCAAGGCAAATTGTTGAATTTTGATAGACAGGAGGTCCTTCGGTTGCGGTTCCACTGGGAAGAAGAGATGGATTGGTTTCATCAGCTTCAAATGTCAGGCCAAACATGGTGGACACGAGCTTCTCTGTCGACGAGTTGGCTCAACGCTTCACCTCCAAAGGATTGTCCATGGATGACCTTGTAGTCCTTTCAGGTAATCCTCATAGCTAATACTAACTTCCAATGCCTTTTGTAAGCTCATCCAATCTCACCGAACGATCTCCTTTGCCGTCCAAGGTGCTCATACCGTCGGTTCATCTCACTGCGACGCGTTCAGCGAGCGGTTCAAGCAGAGTTCCAATGGAACCATGGTGCCCGTCGACACTTCTCTGGAGAAAGGCTACGCAAAGCAGCTCGCCGAGACATGCCGGGCCGGTGCAAGCGCCACCACCATGGTCGACAACGATCCTTCGACTCCCTCTTTGTTTGATAACCAGTACTACGTCAATCTGCTGGCCAACAGGGGCCTTCTCCATTCGGACTCGGTCCTGGTCACCGATGCCAGAACAAGGAGAACAGTGGAGGCCTTTTCCGAGAGCCAGGATGCCTTCTTCATGAGCTGGGCGGAGTCATTCGTGAAGCTCTCCATCATCGACGTCAAGACGGGCGACGATGGGGAGATTAGATTTTCTTGCTCCAGTGTGAATGGCTAGAGAGGATGATAACTCATCGTGGATTCGTTGTGCAGTTCTTTCAATCTTTGGTTCTACTCTATCCTTCCTCTCAGGATCTCTTCATCAACTACTTGTTTCTCCATAAGCGTGGCAAATATCACTTGCATCAGATAATGTGAAACCAGCATAAGAAATTCCCTTGTCATTTTTTATATTTATTTTATCTCATATTATTAATTAATTAATTTTTAAGATCTAAAATTAATATAAATAAAGACTCTTCTAAATATATGAAATGATAAAAAAATTAATATCTTCAAGTAAAAGTCTTTTCCACTATAAAGAGTTGATATCTCTTGTTGTCTTTTGTCATTTTGTTATGATCCCTTTTAATAATATTTCTTTGATTTTATTTTCGTTCTACCTTAATTATTTTTGCTCTAATACCAATTAACATAATGAAAACAAAATCAAGAAAATACTAACAAAATTATTAGAGAAATTAATTTCTTATAGTGAAAAAGATTTTTATAATTCTATAAACTTAGAGGGAGCCTTTATTTATATTAGTTTTAGATCTTAAAAATCAGTTTGTAAAATTAAAAAAAATAATAATAAATGAATAACTTTAAAATCTTTAAAATTAGTTTTTGTAGATTATTTTCAAAGAATTTAAAGTAATCCACTTATCATTTTTATGTTTCTTTTATCCCAATTATTAGTTAACTAGTTTTCAAGAACTAAAACTTAGTATAAATAAAGGTATGGAATCATTAAACATAAACATAAGATAGAATCCATTCTACGCCATCTGCTTGAGTAAATGTCATTTCCTCGTTCGAGACCTGTTGGCCAAATAGGTGAAGTTATACACACAGCAGGCTTCCTTTATTGCAGACATGTTTCATTACCAGTGAATCGATCCAAAAGGGACCTTAGTAAAGAATGGAGCAGGCAGCTGATGAGATGAGAGAGGGGACAAGATGAAAACTCCAAGCTAGTTTCTTGGATGATTTCTACAAGTTGGGTCTTGTCTCATCTCAATCAGCCATGCAAGTAGGAGAATGATGACTGCACAAGGATTCCTTGTCTTCTTAGACGTGTGTCCTTGTCTTCATGGGAGCAGTATCCATCAACTCTGGAGATAAGATCTCCATGTCTTTCAACTCTAATGTCATCTATCAGTATCCATCAACTCTGGAGATCAATGTCATGATTAAGAGATTTCCCAAGGCAAGTAGTTGATGATGATGATGTTCAGGCATTGCTGCAACAAATCAAGTAGCAGCAAAATCATATACAGTTTTTGGCACCCTCTTTTTAGAACTGTGCTTGCTTAATTTTAGTTTCAAGAATCACCAAAAAATGTTCCATGTTTCTTTCAGATTCAAATCAGAGAGAGAGAGAGAGAGATGAAAGTAAAAGATGGCATTGTCATTCAAAAAGTTAGAAGACATTCCCCTGGTTTATCATGTATTCTGTACAACTATTGGCTTCTTCTTCGCTCAGATACTCAAGAAAGGAGCTACACTTGCATGAAACAAGTGCTAAATGACAATCTATGCTGAACTAATAGACAAAAAAGTTGGTTCTCCTTTTTCATTTCAAAAGGTCTCAATCTGAACCTATCTCTGCCCTCCAATGAATCTCCACTGGTTCGTTGATGAGTAGTGTGTGTCAGTGGAGAGTTGCGATCCAGTCTGCTTAGAAATTTGGTATGGTTGTGTGATTACAGTGCTTTTAGTTCCTGACCTCCTCATTAGAGAAGACAACACAAATTGGAGTTCTTGTTGAACTCCTGTCATCACAGTGTTCAACATTCAACAACCAACAAAGGAGCCAATCATGTGCGCAAAGCAATGATCCAAGGAATCAGAGTACAGTCGTGGGTGTGCCATAGCACAGAAACCATGAACCCTACAAGACTGTCTGCTTGCAGGCACTGGGCTGCCATGACAAAGAAAGAAGAGAAGGAAAAGGAATGAATAAAGAGAGGAAGCAGGTCCTCTGGTTGCAGCTTTTACTCCACATTCTCCTCTCCTTTTCATTCCTTGTCCCACGTGCATGGGATGGAAGGAAGCCACCAATCCAAATAACGACCTGATGAAATGGCACGAGCTGTCCCACATCCAAACACTCCCAAAGATTCGTGTGGGCAATTTGAGATCTCCCAACAGTTTGCCCCTCAGATAACGTGTGCTGATGTAGAAGGAGAAGCCATGGCTCATGGCTGCAACATGAGCAGAGCAGCCATCAGCCCGTCCTCCTCGTCTCGAGCCAACACATCAAGCCAAGTGCCCGAGGATTCCAAGCTCGGCAAAGGGGCATAAAGAAGAACCAAACGCATCTCTTGCCACTGCTTCACGTGCACTCAACAATGGGCGGCAATGAATCCAAGCAACCGAGTTAGCAGATGCTCCAGTCCGAGAGGGAATGCAACTCTAAAGCACACACTGCTTAGTTAGTATATTTGAGTAGGGCAGTGACCGAAGAGAGAGAGAGGGAAAGGCATGAGTGGAGATGTTATTCAATGGGAACGGCGCGTCTCCCACAAAGTGATGTTATAATGCCATTATTAATCGAAAAAGTAGGGGGAAGAAGATGGAGAGAAAGATACAGTCACTGATGGCTTCAATTATGGTCTGCTTACTTCGATGACAGTGATGGTTAGTTTAGGGTTGAATGGCCTTTC